ATTTTTTTTTGTCACTAGGAAATGCACGCTGATGTGAGTTAAGAGCCGAAATGCAGGCCGAGCTTAATTTAAACAGGAAATTATGAATGTTGACTGCAATTTGTTTATGCAGCTGCTGATTCGAGGCGCCCCCCCTTACACCTCTCTCTGCCTTCAATGACCGAGCAAGATTGGCCGAAAAGTATGGGCCGATAAAGTTAATTTACTTGGCCGTTTGTCGTCGGTGTCTTGTGTGTGTGTGTTTGCTGTGTTTGCCCGTTGTTTTGATGGCGAATATTTCACGCTACTTGTGAGTAGCAGTCGGTGAGTCAAAAGGTGCCTCCGATCAACGTCTGTCATGCATCATTAGCCACCGATCTGGGGTTCCATATACTCCTATATGGTCTACAAGCTGTTTTTGCGATGATTAGTCATGTGCATTGCCTGTGACTGTGCCGACAGATGTCCTGATCCATTCTTGGCCACATAATAATGTATCGGAACAATAGGAAAATAGCATTCGCTAGGAGGGGGGCCGGGCGAAGGTTATTAGTCATTGATATGCGCTTTTGTGGACCGCACCTCCAAGCTGCTTCTGGTTATGGGTCTTAATGTGGCTTACGAACTGGGCCCGGCTCTCTTTCTTTGTGTGGACTCAATTTCGCAGTTGTCAGTCTATTATCAAAGGTGTTGGCATGAGGTAAGGGTTCCTTATGGAAAATTATCTAGGAAAACTAGGGGAGGAAGTTGGTTCTAGAGGTCACCTATCAAACTTTTATCTTTCTATAAAATATTTTATATATTTTCATAGGTAAACTAGTTATTTTCTTACCTATTTTCTTTGTACATTTTTGTTTCATTAATAAATGTAATTATTTACTAACAAGCTTAGCTTATCCTTTACACATGCTCGTTTTTTCCTACCACAAATCATCATTGAATTTTCCTTAATTCGCCAGCCATCGTTATACCGTAAAATTCCATTTCTTTTCCAACCAAACGAACACTCATTAGGCACACGCCAAACAAGCTGCTAACCATTCACCCCACTCACTTTTTTTCCAGCCATTTCCCCAGGATGGCCAAGCCGCGCACTTTGTTCAACTATCGCCAGGCGGCCAGGCCAGCTAATGTCTCTTGTCCAGTCCAACAATCTCATAGCCAATTAATTACCCCGAGAAACAAAAAGTCTGTAAATCATTTTGAACTTGACATTCGGTGCGAGGCGAATGCAAATGCAGCGGACTCCAGGTGAGGCAATTAACGGGGGGCCCCAGAAAAAAATACAACAAAAATATCAGAGAGGTGTCGCCTGGCCTACAAAACTGGACACTCGTAGAAGTCAGAAAACTATATTGGCCTGCAAAATGATTTAATGAGCATTTATGCAAATGATTTCGGGTCCGAAACTCTCCTACTCCTGAGCCCTGGCCACTGTTACACTCGGTGTTATCCTTTAAGCATCCTGTATGTGTCCGCACAGCTCGTAAATCATTCAGGATGTGTGTTTGCATATGTGCACCGAGGGGTGAGTGGGTCCTCCTCAGTTCGATTCAATGGGTAACAAAAAAGCCGAAAGGCAAACCCAAAAACCTACACAAACCATGGAGGGAGGGGCCGATGACACTTTCAGCTGCAATCAGGCGTAAAAAGATGCTGCCCAAAAGCAATTTTCACTTTTGGTTTTTCGGTTTTTGTTTGCGATTTTCCTTTTGCCAACCGATGGGCATTGATAGGGACAGAGGAGACAAGGAGAAGGGTCTCTGGTCTGAGGTGGGTCTCCCATCATCAATGTAGCAACAAAGCGACACAATTTCGGCATTTCGGTTGATTTAGATGAAAGCCAGAGGGGCAAAGTAACGACTTTGGGGTTTCCCTTAAATTATTTTAAGGCCTTAAACCGAAAAATTCTTGTTTAGGTTTAGTTTCTCTCAGGAAAGCTCTACCAATTCCAGAGCATACTCCTTTAGCTCCTCTTACAATAGGTAAACCGTCTGGTCCGATCCATGGATGAATGGTCAGACACCCAGGCCGCAGTGACAATCCAGAGAGGCCCTTCCCTTGGGCGTCCCATTCCCTCGTCTTCGGTCTGGTCTCTGTGTTTATGCGGTTGCCTTTTGGCTGCTTATTGATTTTGGTCAAGTTTTGCCTTCGTGCCTGCGGTCAGCCCCCGGAATGAAATCAATTGGAAAATGCGCTTAATGATTTTCCAAGATTTGTGCTCTTGCTCTAATGGCTCCAGCTAAACTGTACCTTGGGCAAGAGAGAGATTGCTGAGGAATCTGCGACAATGCCACACCCATTTCCTGCGAAACTATAGCAACTGTCTGGAGGGAGACTTGAAGAACCTTTAAAGGGCAGAATAATGGGCAGATGGGTGCTGCTAAGGGTTAACTTCTTGCAGCGAGGGGTTGGTGCAGCCCGATATTTCCCTTTTGTTGCTGCTGCTGGCACAATTCTGTCAACTCCTTGAACTGCTCCTTGAAGTGCCGATAAAGTTCATTTTCCGGGGCGGAAGTGTGCGCCGCCTGCAATTCGAAAACGATCAAGCGTAACTTGGCGATGCGATGAGCCCCGTAATTATGGGTGCTCATGAAGGACGACGGTTCACCGCGGGACATTCAAGGGGTGATGACTGTCGGGGATCGAAGACTGACCTCTTTTGCCAGGATCTTCAAGGATACGGGCAGATAAGTATCGAGCGAATGCAACTGAACACAAAGCGCTGCACTTGGGGTGTATCGTTGCATTATAAAGGAATGTTGCAATATTTTGTTAGTTCTTTGTGAGCTGAGAGCTCCCACTGTGATGTTTCTTTAAAAAAAGAAGTTGTAAGAAAGGATGTAAGCAATATTTAGTGAGTTTAATAATAAAGATTGGAGTAAAGGTTACTTTAAAGATGTATGTTTTTATATTTCAATTCAGGTTTTAGGATTTTTTGTGTTCAAGGGAGTGTTAAGTGCTCGAGATTTCTTATTATATATTTGCTTAACTTTCCCAATTTAAGTTAAAGACTGCCTCAACCTTTAAGAACTCTCTTAAAGCCTTACTCACCCAAATGTAACCCATTCTTAGTACCTTAAACTCCCCTCACCGTCTCTTTTCCATTAACCCGAAAGAGCTGCAAATTCAATTGGAAAATTTTCAATTAATATGATGGCCATACCCCCCGCCGGGCACAGATAACACGACATTCTAATGCTCGCATATGGTCCAAAGGCCAAAGTTGGCCCTGGCCTTTAGGCCATTTCCATAGAGTACATTAACAATATTGCCCCAGTAGTGACCCAACTCAAAGGGTCCACAGGCCCCGAAAAAGGGCACTAAACATGGAAATTATGCGTGTCCATTGGAGTTTTTGGCTCCTAACCGAATCACCACCCATTCCAAGGTGAAAAAGCTTTTAATGCCCGTTAAGAGAATGAGTTTTTCTGGTTTTAAATTTCCGTTTAGCTATTTTTCCGGGGCGTTTTTCGGCACGCGCCCCTGAAGAAGGCTTCGCACCTTTTTTTTACCCCGAAAAAAATAACAGTTTAGCGATGAAAGTTGCAGATTGCCAAAGACGATTAATATCACTTAATTAAGGTGAAAATGTAGATGCCTGACAGCTGTCAAATGTGTATGAAACGTATCGAATGGCCCACAAAAAATAAGTAGTAAAATACAGAAAATCAAATATCATTTTTTTATCCCTATTTTCGGGTAGTTTTTTTCGTCTTTGCCCAATTGCCCAATGGCAGGATTAGGGATTGTGCCGAAAACATACATTAAATAGTTGCTCGCTCTGGCCTGGAACAATGACAGCAATCAAATCGCATTTGCCGTTATGCCGAAAGCGGATTTTTGATGGCAATCAATCAGAAAAGTGCCCTGAAAAAAAAAAGAGGAAACGATTTCGGATTGTTTTCCCTTGTTTTCTGGGGTGAAATCAAAGCGCATTTAACTTTTGTGGTTGTGCAGATATTCTGGCACAGAGATTTTTCGCAATCTGCCATCGTCGCAGCCCCTAAGCGGGCATTTTCAACTGCAATGGCCTGTCAACGGATGTGCGAGTTGGGTTCGAAGTTGCGAGCTATGTTAGGATCTCGGATTTCGGGGAGTAGTGGTGGCTCCCCCCAGGCCAAATGCCATTTAATTCCGCCTCGACAAGTGTGATGGCCTCTTTTGCATTTCAGGCGGGAGCAATCTGAAGGCGGAAAGTGCAGGAATTGTTTGTCAAACAAGCGGGTAGGATTATGATATGCACTAGGAAATGGGTATAAGATTTTAAAGAAGGCTTAGATGTTTATTAGAATTCTTGTGTTTATGAAAACTTTAAAGTATTTTATATTATTATTTGAATTTTTAAAGAATTCCTAATATCACATGGAATACCCTTTGAAGTCTGAAAATTGCAACACACAAACAAAATTATTTAAATATTTTTAATAAATCTTAAATAATTTAAAATTCATCAAGAACCCTTAAGATCAATATCCAGATTAGCACATTAGTTGCTTTCTAAAGCGTTTTTTGCCTACTTATAATCAATTTCCAATTCAAGACCCCATGTTCCATTGGCAATCTCTAAGGGTATACAGACTTCGGCTACCCTAAGTTACCTGCCTCTATTTCTCTAGATTGCCTTGCATTCCGCTGGGCCTTTGAGATAACGCACCCCGAAGCAGCACTCACTGCAGCGGGTCAACAACAATGGCCCGGTTAATTGAATTGCCTAAGCCAAATCGGTCTCTCTCGGCTCTTTTGAATGCGTGGGCTGTCCGCTGACCAGATCAGACCAAGGTTGTTGTCAGGGAATAATAATGTCCCGACTTTAATTGTATCGATTTCATTTGAATTTCGTTGCCCCTATTGTTCCAATCGGTGGTTTATGGCTATCGAAAGTACACAGAGAAAAGATCTATTTGTTTCTGGATTGCCAAGGTTAGAAGAGATTGATAGCTTGGTTACGACAGATCTCCACCTAAAGATTACGACACTTACCGCAGGTTCACTTGAATTTTGTATAAACTACACACAACTTAAACTTTATTCATTGCTAAAAATACAATTTACACGCACGTAAAAATAGTCAAACAACTCTAAACAACTAAACGACTTAGCCACTAACGAAGATTTACATACGCATCGTACACATATATCATACATGTAGCGACGGAAAATACAAGTGCTGAGAAGTAAGATAGAGCTATAAATAAACATAAGATACAAGATACATCACTCTAAGACTTGGGCTTTCGACTGCGGCTGGGCGTGGTTCTCAGCGGACGCCTTGTACTGGTCACCGGATTACTGGTCGTTGTTGTTTTTGTCGTTGTTGTTGTGGCTATGGGGGTTGTGGGTGTTGGTGCTGGTGGTGTAGTGGTTGTTGTGGTTCGCCTGGCAATCGGACGCTCCCTATAGACACACATAAGCTCATCAGCCGCATCGGGACAATCAATTTGCTGAAGGAAAAGCAGGAATTTAAAAAGAGAATTTAAAGTTAAAATATAAAGATTATAAAGATTTGAGTGTTAATATATTTAATACTTATTTTTTAGAGCTTAAATTGTTCTTGAATTAACCTAAAATTAATCTCACCTTATCACACAATTGACTGACTGTAATGCACTTGCCGCTCAAACACCTGAGTTCGTGGGGCAGGCACCCACCTGGAGCTGTCACCACCTCCATTGGGCTGGCAACTGTCGTTGTCGGTGGCTTAGGAGTGGTTGTACTTGTCGTGGTGGTACTTGTGGTGCTAGTAACTCGCTCTCTCTCCCGCTGCTGGGCCAAGGCTGAGCCAGGAATGGCACTGGCTGTACGAGCCGCAGGAGTTGTGGCTGTGGCAACGCTAAACTTGACCGAAGTGCGATTCGATCTCTGGGAATATTTGAATTTGTTCTCCGAATCGCTAGTCATCATTATCTCCTTGCTGTCGCGAAAGTTAACTGGAATAAATTATACAAAAAAAAAAGATATATAAAAACTAACAAGAAAGAAGAAAAGTATACCTTTGAAGTTTGATAAATGAAAATAAAAACTAACTAAAATTGAATTAAATAAATAAAACAAAATTACACTTACCAAACCCCTTGGGTCCACCAGAGGATTCCTCGGCACTGACATTTACCGCCGGAGCTGGGGCCGCCACCTGATGTATCTGGAACTTGGTCTCCGTGCCGGCATCCTCATCGGTGGTGGCTGTGATATAGGTATATAGCTTATCGTTTGTCTCATTCGGTGAGAGGAAGCTGGCATAGGAAAAGACCCGGGGAAATGCATTCAGTTCGGCCTCATCGAAGGGCGCAGCATCCCCCGATCCATAGTCTTCGCAATCCTCCTCATCGCTGCCATCGAAGCAATCAAAGTTCTGATCGCAGCGAAGATTCTCCGGTATACACTTCTCGTTGGATCGACAGCGAAACTCTTCCTCCTCGCAAACCAAACACTGCTCATCCTCATCCTCGCCCCCCGAGCAATCCTTGATCTTATCGCACTGCCAGTTCTGGGGAATGCAGCTGCCGTCGTGGCATTGGAACTCATTGCCGTAGCAGTGATCCCTTCTCCTGGTGGGATCCTCACACTTGTGACTCTCATGGGCATCGGGATACAGGCTGCAGTCGAAGAGTTCACTGAGGATATCCGAGTTGGCAATTGCCACGGAACAGGCCTCAAAAATTGCTAAGTAATTGATTAATAAATTATTAAACAATAATTAAATTTAAGGTTTTTATGAATTTAATATTTTTTCCTTTTTAAATTAGATACTCACCCTTGCAGATGCGACGACATGGTGGCAGCTGTCCAATGTGCGAGGGTCGGCATTCTGGCTCCAGGGCGGCGCACACAAACTCCGCCGCTCTGGCCGAGCAGTTGGACCGGATGAGCTCCTCGTAGACTACCATGGCCACTGCATCCCGCTGCGTGGCTCCCTCGCGATTGTAGGTCAAATCGTAGTCCAGAACGCCCTGGCACATGGGCAGCATGGTGGACTTGCAGCCGCTCTCCGTGGCGGAGGGGGTGGTGGTGAAGGTCATTGCCTGGGTGGGGCGTCCGCTGGCCGACGAGGGGGGCGGTAAAGTAGGTGACACCCGGGTCAGGGGCTGCTCATTGCTAGAGGGGGTAGCCTGGGGTTTGGGCAGTAACTGGAAAAGCACAGGTAATAATTGAGTGAGAAGGGAGTGTGCTTCCGACTTACATCCTTGAGCAACTGCAGCATTCTCTTGTCCTGCTCGATGGGCACCCCGAAGCTGTTCTGGTGGCCGGAGGTAAAGCGAATGCTATCCGCCGGCAGCAAGGTGTCGTCGTAATCGCCGTCACCCTCCTCTGGAAAACCCTGCTCCTCCTCATCAAATGTTATTTCTGGCAACTCTGTGTCTTGCTCCCCATCTACTGCCTTGAGTCGTGTCGTCTCCTGAGGCTCTCGCTCCGTGGTGCTGGTGGTTTCCTCATCCCAGACTTCGTGGCTGCTGGAACTCGTGGATGTTAGAGTTGCCTCGTAGCGGCGCTGGAGGAACTTGGCTCGGGCCACGCTCACATCGTGCAGCCATAGACAGTAGGTGATCAGTCCAAAGAAGAGCAGGACACTGGCCACGAAGATGATGGGCCAACGCAGATATTTCCAGCGGCAGGCACGCTGGGCATAGCCCAGGAGCATCCAGGGCGTGGGCTTCTCTGGATTCTCCATCTTGCTGTTCAGATAGTAATTGGCAGACAGCGGATACTTGTAGCGGCGAACTTGGAGTTCGGCCAGGGTCTCGGGACTGCCCAGCATACCGATGCGATATTTTTGGGTCTCGCTCCAGCACGACTCGCTGGAGGTGCGGGAGTAGTCATCTCCATGATCTTTCACCGATCCCAGACCATGGTCGTCATCGTTGCCGCTGCCGATTGTCTGCACCGTGATGTTGAGGCCGTGGGGATATTTGGTCGGCTGACGCCTCAATCCGGTGACTGATGGGGTTTCGTTAGCAATTACCTCCAGCTGCTTCTGTTCATCCATTATGGGTTCCTCCAAAATGTCAATTGCCAAAAGCTACAGAGAGGGAAAATACTATAGTAGTTTATACATATATTTTATAAAATTAAAGCCTTTAAATAAATTTCTATTCGTGTTTTATGAATAATAAACAGTAATAGTAATTAATTCACATCATTTTCTTGTTTCCTTTGGTTACAAAATTTTACAAAATTATCGGAAAATACAAAAATGATTCAGATTATTCTCCTTTTTCCCTCAGTGTTCCCTTTTTGCATTTACCACCGTTATATAACCGCAGGTAATTGCTGTTGTCTAACCGATTTCCGAGACTCTTCAGCAGATTAGGGCTCTGCTCCTCTCGCTATCTGCGGGAAAAATTCAGATTTGCGAAAGGCAATCGAATTGCAAATGAAAATGAAAGTGCGCCCGTCAATATGCATCTCGGCATTTCCACAATTTTTAATGGAAAGTTGTCACCCAACCACTGCGATGATCTTCAATCTGCCGCTGCTTCAATTAAGCTTCATTAAGTCCTCTCTAAAAATAAATTACCGCAAAAACCGCGTTCATCTTTGGCGAATTAAGAAGCAGCTGCAGGCAATTGCTTTGGATTTTCCCAAGCCATCAGCGGTGATAAATAATCTCGTATACATACGAACACGAGAAGCCCCCAAAAGTATTGGCCAATAGTTTAGAAAAATTGAAATGCGAATTGCATTGGGCAAGAGATGGCCAGCAAAGTGGCTTCTGCTGCAGCCAAACTTCGCATAAGGTTGCAAATATATATGTACTATATGTGCACATGGCAGAGACTCTGCACAAAAGCCAAGAAAAGCAAACTTGTTAGCCGGAAAAACGAAGAGCAAGCGAAACAAGCGAAACAACAGCAATAATAGCTGGAAGTCAGCTGCTGCTGAATCTGGCCAAAAACGAAGAATAGATGCCCTGGGAGAGGTTATTATTAATGGCCGGTGATGGAGATTGGCTATGTAAGAAAATGGCAAACCATATCCAATAAATAGATCTCTGGGGAGGCAAGGTTTAATAATATTTTATTAAGTCGTTTCTTGAAGTGAGCGAGGTTTGAATTAAATAATGAAATATAATATGGGTTTGCTGGGTTTTAAGCCACTTAAACCTAGCCAAGATCTTCAAGTAAAGCATTTTCCCTCAATCCCAATGCCTTGCTTAAGATGTTATGCATTCGTGTTACTACGACTTTAGTACCCTTTTCACCTGGACCTGGATTGGCATTACGAGTGCGATGAGCTAAAGTCGCTTGAGCTTGGCGGCCACAGTTGGCTGAGTGTCGAGTGCCAAAGTGTTTTGTTTTTTTATTTGTATCTTTTTCTGTTTGCCTCCTCGATTTTTGGCTGAGACACAACTCCAGCTGGGATTGCTCCTCTCGTGCTCCAACTGCTGCCCAACTGGTGCTAGTGACCTTTTCACTTTTGTTTTCGTTGCTGGCTGACTGCCGCCGCCTGGCTATTGCCAAGTTGCAAGTAAACCAAGTTTTTGAAGTTTCCATGCTACTTCAAGTGTTGCGGCTTCTTTTCGTGGAAGCTGAAGAGGCGGAGATGGCGGCCTATTAATGGGTAGCAAACTGAGTTGCACAGAGAGAAAATCTAGTATAACAAAATGGTACATATAACACTTACTAAGAGCTTTTCACAGAATTTAGAACATTTTTGTTAGGGAAAAATTCCCAAAATAGAAAAGCAACATTAAAAAAAATTACATTTGGTCTCATACTATATTTCCCAATATTTTTTCCTGTGCATCTCACTGTCTGCTTAGACGTTCGTTGCTCGATTAATGAGCTGCAGTCCAGCGGCACTCAACTCTCGCCTCTTCAACTCCTCTCAGGTGTGCAAAATCTGTTGCTTATGGTTTTTCTTCTTTTTTTTTTTTTTTTTTTTGCCAGGTTATTAAGAGTTTTGCTGGCGGCTTTAAAGATTTCGCTAAGGTCAGTTGAACGGCGGAAAATGCCGGCCAAGTGAGCAATCGACAGAAAGGTCATAACAGCAATTGACGGAGTGCTGTGAAGAACCTTGCTTTAGGGTCGGGTCCCAGACTCCGAATGGGTGTAACCAAACAGCACGATTGCGGGCTGAGGTTAGTCTTAAATGTCTGCGGTTAATTTGGAGCAGGGACCAGGGGAAGTCATAACGTCCGATGAGCATGTCAGTCGGTTTGTGTGGGAAATGAGGTAATCTAAGGGGTACAAAGTGGTCACTTTTTTTTGGTGGTTACCGGAGGTCCCAGCCGTCACGCACCTATCTAGATCTTTGGCAACCTGTCTAATTAGTAACTGTAACTGCAGTTGATATCTGAAAGCTAGTATCTGCCAGTCCGACTACTTCCAGGCATTGTTCAATAGCTGGTTTGGCCAGCCATTAGAACACCTTTGAGCAACGCCATGCCTCAATGCCCGGCACTGTACTTGAAAGGCCCTCCTCCCTCTGTCTATCACTAGTAGTGCAATCTTCAATCGGCTGAGCATACATTTTTTTTTTTGGTTGCCCAACTCGATTTCATTTAGTTTAGAGTCGGTTATTATTCACATTGCCAGAGAATGAGACTAACTTTGATTATAATATAGATTTAATAATTGTAATTAAAGTTATGCTAATAAATTTAATTTGGTTGTATAATAAATTGTTAAGCTGGTTCGTTGGCTGAAGAATGTTCTAATCACTGAACTAAATATTTAATTTATAATAATTATTTTATTATTTTCAAACAACTATTTAAGTCATAAAAGCTTTTAATGGGTTGATATATATTATACTAATTCTAAATATTAAGCTGTTTTGAAAAACCTTTTTTCTTATACGAATCTGTGAAGTTCAGTCTGCTGATTGATTATCTTTTCTATTTTAATAATTAAATTATATAAAACTAAATTAATTTGTAGCTTCCTAATGAGTTAAACACTAGCCAAGAGAAGCAGAACTAATGATTGATGATTTCTTAATTTACTTTTTAATAAAAAAAATCTTTATTAACAACAAACAAGCTATTAATTCAAGAAAATTGTATCTTTAAGCTTATAAAACTCAATTTCTCTCAACAAAATTAGTAAATAATTTTCCAGTTCATATTTTAATCGATAAGATACATTTTTCCAAGTGCATGCCCCGCATTCCTGGCCAGGTAAATTGCATTGAAACGTTGCAGCATCCAACTGGCAAATGCCAGCTTATAAGTTAAGTCATTTTGTGGCTGCGAGAGCTCCAATGGAACGGCAACTGCAACTGCAACTGCTGCTCAAAGTTATTTTGTACAAATAAATTGTTCATGCTTTTCGATTTTATTTTGCCCGGCACTCTCAGTACGTGCCGTTGCGATGTTATTCTGTGCGAGGTGAGCCGGCAACTCTGACCAGTCAAAGCTGAAGCTGAGGCTAAAGCTGAGCCTGAATCTGAATCCAAATCGGACTCCAAAGTCTATATAAAAAACGCGGAGGCCAGCAGCAGCTGCAGTTAGCGGGTGGATTATGGCAGTTAGACACGGCGATTATGGCCTTACATGCTCAGGCCAACCTGCTACAGTTTGGCCAACTGGGTTCTGAGTCATTTAGTTCGAGATCGTATAGGGGCAGAACTGAAGATCAAGAGGAGCTTGAGTTATGATCGTGCTCGGGTCGAGGTGGACTGGGCTGATTAGCTGGCTATCCAGCAGATTCTGTCCGATTAAGCCATCGATCATTAACTGACATTTGCGGAGATCGTGGGTGGATAAAGGCCCGTCGCTCGCCAATTCAATTGACTTTTGATCTATGGACAGAGAGCTCATTATTGTATAACAAACTTTAATTACTTTTGACTTGTGTGCCTGGGTATTCTTTGTGATCGCGAAAACTGATCAGTCATGGCTTTGCGAATTCTCCTTTTTCCGAATTTATTTATTGCCACTGATTGATCGCTCGGTGTTTATTGAGTTAAGGTTCGATTCGAAGAACTTTTATGGCGTATAATTACCAGCTGTATTGTGTTTCTGGTGTGTTCATAACAATCCTTGGAACTCGTGTAATTATTTGGTGTTGAAATCATCAGTAAACGGTACTACTTCTACTTTTATATCATAATTATTTGTTGGCTCATTTTGGCTTTTAATGTTTATTTTTTATTATAAACTTTAATACCTACAAATTACAAATTTGGTAAGCCCAATTAGGTGCTATGAGTAAATCCTAAGAATTTAAGCTACCTTCTGGCTCTATTTAATATCTATTATTAGTGTTTGGCCTTCACTAACTCGAAGTATTTTTCAAATAAATATATTTTTATTAATGATTTAATTAATCACAATTTAAGCTCCCCTTCTAGCGTAATTTCAAGTGGCTTGATCTATAAAAAGAACAAATTTATTTCACACATTATCTTCAAAGATTCACTTGGATTTAAGTTTCCAACCGTAAAAACTACTTCATAATCACTTAAGAACTGCCAACAATCAGACAGCGATGATGTCAGAGAACTTCTTCGGTCCACCAAGATTATTATAATAATCCTTAGATTTCTTGCGATCACTCAACTCTGAAATGATCTCAGAGAGTTGATGATGATCTTCGAGACACCTCAAAAAGGGGAACCGAGAAGCATTTTTTGCCACTAATAACCCGTTGATATTTACGCACATTTAAAGATCAACCAAGAATTGGATTTATTCTCTCTCACTGCATTTAAATCTTAAAACTTTAAACCAAATCTGCTTGTCATCGCAGCAATTATTCCATCAATCAGGCCTTTGAGAGATGCACAGTCATGAGTAAATTCTTGTTTGCACCTTGCCAGTGTTCCACCATTTGAATAAATTTGTAATTAAATCAGCTACCTGATTTTCCGATCTCTGTTTCACACCACTGAAAACACACACTCAAATTCGATGATCAACTCACACGAGAACCGCACTTTTGTCACTTTTCCACGCTTTTCGGATTCACTTTTGCGGTCGAGATATTATTTAATATTATTATTATTATGTTGTTGTTTTTTTTTGGCAGAGCAACCGCGAATGTTTATGGAGATGTGAGAACGCGAGCGAGTGTGCTCGACATTCGTGTTATGTTAATCAATGTTGATTGCAATATGTAAGTTGTTTTTTTCCTCTTCATTAAAAGTGCAAACTTCAAAATTAATTAAAGTGACTTTGGCTGGGTTTGTACATTGCAATTTGGTCTTGTTGCACTATAATTACCAGACTCATAATTTGCATAAAAATTTCGTTTGGCAAGCATTTGTCGAGCACGCCATTTAAGTGTGTGGGAGGCTTCTTTGTTTTATAACTTCTTCCTTTCGGTTTTTAGCAACACTTAACAGCACTCCATCCATCAATCAATCAATCACTCAAACTTTAAGAGGGATAATTTTACGCTTTGGCAATAAAAAATTAAAAAACTCACTTTAAACACTTGTTGTGCTTGGACTTTTGAGGACTTTTCTTTAGGAACGCGCACCGTTTCTCGTAAGCCTCATCCGCGCGATCGGCTGCCAAAAAACCGACTGAAATACCTAGGCTTTGCCGAAGAAGCCAAAAAGTCCACAGAGCTTCTCTTTTGGATTCTTCCAAGACACGATCGAAGCTCACCTCACCTCAGCTCGGCTTGGCTCTCGGTTTCGATTTGATTTCGCTTTCAAGCTCAGCCCACGGATCGAGTCTCCGTCTCCGAAGCCGGCACCTCGAGTTTCGCTCTTAAATCCGGTTTCAAAACTCTCTTAGAGTCTCTTTTTTTGTTGGTCTTTGATCGTTTGGAGTCATTGGTTCACTGTGTCGCCTGTTGGGTCTTTTTTTATGATTTTTTTACTCATGTTTTTATCTATTCTTTGGCTGCAAAGCCAATACTTTAATGGCTCTTGCAACGTGACGTTTAAGTTATGATGAGATCGTTTTGTCTGACTTTTATGTAAGTGCGGAATGAAGCGTGCCCAGCGGTTGTAAAGAATGTCTAAACTTTGGAGTTGTGACAAAGAAAAACTGTCATTACTGGAGTTTTCCTTCGGGGGCTTGGTTTGGTCTGAGGTTTCTGCAATTGGCTTATGGAAATTTCGCACATGTGGGTGACAACTGGCTCTGAAGTAGGTTAAGTGGAAGCAGCAGATGAGTCATGGGATTCCAAAAGTGGCAACAGATACACAACAAGTCCATATACGGTGAGGTTAATGCACCTGAAATGCGTTTTGTGATGGGGTTTTCGAGTAATAGATGTAAAAAATCAACAGAAGCAGCATATTTATGGATTTTCGGAGACTATAAATATATTTAAATTCGTTTTGTATTAACTATAGTTATATTTTAATGTAAAATACATTTATTTAATAGTTGTATAGATCAAAGAATTTCATTGCAAAATAGTTTAGTAGAGATCTTTCAAAGAATAAGACTTTTAAAAGAGATTTTCTGCTCTCACACATAAATTTTCTATTTAAAATAATACTTGACTTACCTTTGGGTATTTCTTATATATAACTCTTACTTGTACTCCCATTAACCACAATTTCGGCTATATGTTTCCCACATCTTAAGCTCTAATTATAGGTATCCACTTCCCTGCCGGTAAGAAACAAGTAACCTTGAAGCGGCGCCAATTAAAAGCCAGCTATTAATTAGTATTCTGATTACACTCACACCAACTATTGACCTTCTTTTGCGAATCCAATTCCCAAAAAGCCCCTTGAGCTATTAGATCATTTAGTGGTTTCTGGTGTACAATGGACTAGAAAAAAATAGTCTAAAAAAAAAGAGAAAAGAAAAAATAAAACAGAGCATTGCTCAATACACTTTGCGGCATCCACATGTGGCAGGCAAAAGAAATAAGAAAAAACAAATCCTGGCAACTCACTCCCACTCCCAGCAATTTCAGTCAGCTGTTTTGAGCCATGGCTTTTTGGCCCGCACTCGATGTCCGCGGACAAGTGCGCTATAATTGGCCTGGCCCGAACGACTCCGTTGCCAATTGCAATTCCTGCGGCGAAGCAACAACGGTGAGCACTTGGAGAAAATAAAAGAACAAATTTAAATAAATAAAAAGCTAAATTATTAATAATAATAATTCATATAAATTTGAATATTAATAAAATAAAAGAATTTTGGAATTACAAAGTATATCCTTAAAGTCATTTTTATAGCATAAAAATAATTAATTTTAAAGTCTTATATATAACATTAATTAATATAAGATAAAATACAAAAAACACACTTAAAGTAAGAAAGATTTTTGAACAAAAAAGAGATTTCATCTTATTGTTTTATATAGATCTTACAAAAGGATCTCAGGTATTCCTAAAAACGTATATTTCGTACATTGTTGTAGATATTAATAATATAAAATATTTATATAATTTTCTTATTATTATAACTTTAAAACAATTCATGAATGGTTAATTATAAATATGAAACCAAATCTTTCAGTAAATATTTTAATATTTTTTCAAAACAATCCCCTGACTGAACTCCATATTAATTTTCTAAAATTCAAATCCTATCCGATCGATTTTATAATTTTATAGTAGCAAATATTTGAATGACAATTTAGACCTATTAATGTATGTTAATAATATATTAATGGTTTTTTCTCCATGCAGCGAAATCAATACGCAGTTTTTATGGCCCAGCCGGGGCACAAGGTTAGTGGATTTGTGGACTTTCAGTGCGTTGGACTTCAATTTCGATTTTCGTTTGGCAGTTTTTGTGTCGCGACTTGGTTTTGTTTTTGGCTTTAAGTCTTGGCTCTATGGATACGAATTCGTTTGGGGTTTTCTCGCCGCTCTTTATGGTATTTTTGCGATTATGAATGGCCCGGGTCTCGGCCCGCATTCTAAATGTCAATGTTATTGCAACCGAGCAGCTCGGATGTCATTTGGTCCCGTGCATCTATGCAGGGGCGTTGGCTGTGGGATGCCTTTGGGGGACTAAAAACGAGTATACTTCAGGAAAAAAAGAACAAAAAAGAATGAGAGTTGGATATACAGGAACACGGCCTAAACATTGCACAGAATACAGTGAAAACCGAGTCGGAGAAGATTGCTTTGCCGATGGAGATTGCCGAGGACTTCTTTGACCTTAACAAAAAGGAAATATACGACAATAACTGCTTGGAAAAGTATTATTTTATATGTCAGCAGGATAATGCTTCATGTTGTGGAATATATATTATAAAGAATAGTATTACCTTACCACTTACCACTTATTACAACTTCTTAATCTAATTTGAAATCCCCCCTTGGGGAGTACCTGCTTACACCACTGCTTCAGCTTATAGTATAATGCTATGTTATATTTGTGCGATTTGTGCGATTTGCTTCGATTTCCATTTCCACACAACGGTATCCATGGCAAAATGGCCAAAGAGGCGGTGGTTGGCTCTCATGTGGAATTTCCGCTATTCACAAAGACCCACCTTAAAAGTCACAGACTCCGACTTCAATCCAACTTCGAGTTTGATTCGGAATCAGAGAATATTTCAACTGCCTTACACTGCCGATAAGGTATACTCCTGTTTAAAAGAAGTTTGTTTAAAATTCATTAAAATATGAGATTAAACTCTGAGATTTATAAGCCAACTACCAAGAACTAGTAAGATGATCTGAGTCGTAAAAAGTACCACTTTTTAGTAAAGAGAGGGTACTTTTTCTATCTAAAAAAGTGTATATCCACCTTTAACTTCACTTCTCATACCCTGTAGATAAAATATATCATGCACTTTTGTGTTTGGGGGCCATAAATTGTAGCCTGACTTTGCCCATTGTGCGTTGGCTGCCACTGAGAAATCGAATCAATCATTTTTTGCGGCACACACACGAAAACGGAACAAGTTCGCATTCGGAAAAATGCAATTGTTTTCACAGGCATTGGACTGGCCGAGACGGTATTATGACAGCGTTAACAAAGCGCGGCCAAATTAAAGTGTTTAATTAACACAGAAAGAGTTCAACAAACACAGAAAGAGAGGCTCGTCAGCGCGAAAATCGCTCATACGCTCCGTTGAACCTCGAGCGCCTAGACACGCACAGGGAAAACCAAAAGCTACACAAAGTGAATACTTTGTGCGACGGATGGTGAATGAATGCGAATGCGAATGCTCAGATCCAAGGTGTACCAAGCTCTCGGTTAATTGTGTAATTGAAATTGAATTAAAAGCGTGCAAATAAGTCGAGCGGCGAGGAAGAAATCAAGAGGGAATTCAAGGGAAGGAGGCTGCTGCTGCTGGGCAAAGAAAACAGAGAAACTCGGCTTAAATTGAATTTATGGTAAATGCAAATGACCGGGAAGCTGGGGGAAAACAACTCAACATTGAATTGATTGAGGCCAGAGCGTAGTAATATGCAAAAAAGGAACATCAACAAGCAAGATATCGATATTATATACTATACTAAACACTCTTGTAAATACTGGATCACAAGACTTGGAAAAATACAAAAAATAAAAACTAAAACATAACAAGAAAAAGTGAAAAATGTATACACAAGTCAAGCTGCTACTGCAACGAGGTCGAAACTCCAGCGACCCAGGAAAATCTTGGGCAACTTCCACAGCCAGAGGATAAACTGCAAAAGGAAGAGGAAAAGTGCGATGGAAAAACGATAATGAAAATGGTAATGGAAAGATTTGATGAGGCTGCTCAATAAAAAAAAAAGTTTGTTCATCAAGCTTCCGATGGCTTTATGAGCAGCGATTAAGGAAGTGGAGTAAAGTTTTTATTACAATTAAAGACCCATTTTTATAATTATTAAATATTTTTCTCACCAGTTGAATAGCTGTGGGAAATTCCTTTAAAATTAAAGGGTATCTTTCTATTCAATTCGATTCGCTAACTGTTCAGCCGAGTGAGTAATGTCTAACCGTTGACAACAGCCACCGCGTGAGGAGGGGGCGGATAGAGTTGTAGCTACAGCATAGCTTAGCCCGATCTCCAATATAAATATATATGGATATATGTCTGTATAGCTAAAGGCAATCATCCGTATCCGAGGTACACACTCCATGGCCCACGACAATATTGAAGCGAACGCACTTAAGTGCCCGAGTCCGTGCCCGTGCCGGTGCCCTCGTCGCTGGTTCCGCCTCCAACTCTCCGGACTTTGATTCCGATTACGAGTCTCGTGGTTTATATTGAAGCACTGAGAAAAAATGTATATAACATATATAAATTTATATATATTTAGATATCTTAATAAATGTCAAACGAACTTAATGGTTCTGTTTCTGAAGCCAAGAAAAACTGAAGATGGAACTTGGCTGCTTCTTTTCTTTGACAACTTATTTCTATGGGTAAACTGTATATATTATTTATATTTTAAAAATATTTTATCACTTGCTTTTTATTGTATATTTAAAGTTTATATTAACAATTTAACAAGTTAATTTTTAACCGAGAATTTTGTAAAAGAAAAGAAGGGAAGGTATATACATTTTTTAACAAAGAACTCCCTTGCGCTAGATCTTATTCTTCGCTTAAACTTTAGGGTGTAAAATACTCTTTATTTATTAAATATATTTAATTTATATTATTTCCTCTATACAATACCTTATTTTCACAGTGTAAGCCCAACTCTCCAGCGATTCGCATTAAGCGCTGCACGTTTCTTACATGCCAATCCGGGCTT